TAGGTGTATATACACGTACACACACACACAAATAGTTTAGCCATTGCAAAATCAATATCAATACATTACTGGGTCAGGCCAAAAAGAGCCTCTGAGCTTGCACTGACAACTGATGGTCAGGTAATAAATGGAGAGTGGAGAAACCAGGGTAGGGAGAGACCATAGAACAAACCACCATGGGCAGCGATGCCAAACCTCAGGCTGTGTTTTCGTAGTCCCCACTTCTCCTGGGTGATGCTGAGCACCAGCTGCTGTTGCTGGGGGTTTTCGGTCACCCCTCATGCAGGGCTCAGTGCAGCATCAGCCTCCCCAAGCTTGTGGATGATCCACTCCATCCTCCAAGCAGAAGCAGTGCTGGGAGTAGGGAATGCATTCTCTCTGCTTGAGGTTGCTCTGTGGATGCAGTCTCACCCCAGTGCTGGTGACCACAGTGATAATGAGCATAGACTCACAATCCTGGAATGGTTTGGGTTGGAAGGACCTTAAAGACGATCTAGTTTCAACACCTCCCGCTAGCCGAGGTTGCTCCAAACCTCATCCAGCCTGGTTCTGAGGCAGGAATGGGTCTCCAGCTTTGGCCACATCCCTCAGAGCCTGTCTTCCCACAGCTCAGGGGTGTGTGGAGGCACAGAGATGCTGCTGGAGGTGCTTGATGAAATCAACTTGGGCTTGCGGCAGGACACGGTTAACCAGCGCCATGGGGATCCAGCCCTGGGGGAGAGAAAACACCCTCAGTTGGTCCTGCTGGGCCAGAGGGAGGAGAGTTCCTGAGCACAGTGTGATGTGCACCCTTTGCTGTCCCAGCCCAGGTGTGGCACTTACCTTGAGGTCCATGCTGAGGAGCCAGATGAGGTGTGTCCTGTCAGGATCTCCCAGCAGTGGCTGCAGGACGATGCAGCTCAGCCTCGATTCAGCCCTGAGGGGAGCAGGCAGTGAGGGTCCACCCCAGGCAGGGACAGGGGACCAGGAGATCCCAGAGCATGTGCAAACACAATCAGATTCCTGACATTAGAGTCTGAGTTATGTCACATTCCCCAGCGTGGAAAACCCTCTATGAACAGGCACTATGTGGAAAGAACTTGAAAGTGACACCTCAGCATCCCTGGTGCCAACATCCATGCCTGCAGCAGTGGTTTCCCCCCCTGCAGGAACACAACACCCCATGATGGTCATTCTGGGGGAGCTTTACCTCACCTGACACGTCCCTGCTGCAGGGGCAGTGGCTGGAAGCAAGTGGCAGTGCCCACCAGGCAGGGGGCCGGGCCCCTCCTGCCACCAGGTCCCTCTGGCCCACCAGGTTCCCTGGGCTAGGAGCAGTGACCTCATGTGTCACCACTGTATCCATCCCAACACGCTGCAGCACCTGCCAGAGCAAGGAGCAGCCCAAGGGTTAGCTTCCTTGTGGCTGTCCCTCTGGGGACATCCCTGACACCTCCTGCCCAAAGCCACAGCAGTGTGAGCAGAAGCAGCAGCAAGGTGTGAGCTTGGGGCTGGCACCTGCTGATAATTCAATCCCAGTCTCCAAGGGGAAAAAAAGGGGTTATTTTTGCAGCCAATTTTATCTGGGACAAGACCCTCTCAATGCTATTTCTTTTCCTGAAGGCACAGGGAAATCGCAACAATAAATGATCAGCCCCTGCGCTGGGGCTGAGCACCTGGGCCAGCCCAGGGGAGCCAGGGGAGGCTTCCTAGGGCTGGCAGCTTCCTCAGTGATATGCTGTGATTTGAGAGATGAGGAAGAAGTCCAAGGCAGCATCCATCAGAGATGTGGAGCAGCACAGCATCATCCTGGCACACTCCATGCTCACCAAATCCACCCATCTCTCCCCTAGGCTTGAAGGCAACAGCTGTTGCTGCAGTCCAGAAGGACATGAAAGGGCTGGTGGCAAGAGGATCCCATCACCTGCCTTCCAAAGTTCCTCATTCTTTTCAGAGGCTGATGGAGAACGAACCAGGTAAGCTTAGCATCTGAGCCAGCCCAGGGGAGTCAGGGGATGCTTTCTGGGGCTGGCACCCTCCTTAGGGATATGCTGTGATGTGAGAGCTGAGGAAGAAACCCAAGACAACACTGCAGTGTGATGTACTTGGGTTTGTCTCTCTTTTTCAGCTGTCTGATTTCCCTGACATTAGAGTCTGAGTCATGTCAGATTCCCCAGCATGGACAAACCTCTGTGTACAGGTACCATGTATAAAAAAGATCTTGGAAATGACACATTTACAGTGTCACAAGAGCAAAGCACATCTCCTCTCCCTGGGCTGTGCAGGAGTGTGGAATTAGCTTCAATCCTTCAGCAAACTTAAACCCTCCATCTGTTTTTTGGGTGCTAACAACCCAGACCCTCTACCCATGGTGGCATCTTGCCCCAGCTTACCTTCAGCTGGTTGAGGGTTGGGTTCCACTGGGGCATCTGTTCCATCCTCTCAAACAGCTCCTGCTGCAGCTGCTCCACTGGCACAGGCAGGATCACCTCTGCTCTGAACACCTTGCCCAGCCCAGGTACAGCAGTGCTGACCACAGTGACACTGGAGTCCTGAGAGAGCAGAGAGTCTTTTACAGCTAAATCATATCACTATAGCCCTGGGAGTGTTCCAGGCCAGGTTGGATGGGGTTTGGAACAACCTGGGCTAGTGGGAAGTGTCCTTGCCCATGGCAGGGGGTGGGACTAGGTGATCTTTAAGGTTTCTTCCAACCCAAACCATCCTGTGATGCTGTGAGGCTAATCCCCCTCCCTAGACTCCTCCCAAGAGCTTTTCTGGCATGAAGCAGTCAAGGCCAGAGGTGTTTGAGCTTTACCGGTGTGGTTTCTGCCTGCCAGCTGCTGTGCTGCTGCAGGATGCTCAGTGCCCACTGCAGGGCCCTCTCTCCCTGGGTGATGTAGAAGAGATCCATGCTGGAGAACTGGCTGGGACCGATATCTCTGGAGTGCTCAGGGCCAGGAGCTGCAGGAGGAAGGCAGAGACATGAGAAAAATCCCCCCAGCTTTTCAGGGGGACACGGCTGTGGAGGCAGGAGTGCAAAGGAGCTGAAACAGAGGGGTTTGCTGACCTAAAATCTTGGATTTTCCCATGCAACTATTCCCCTGATGGGCAACGAGCTTGGTTCAGAAATTCTTGCTGGCAAAGCACCCCTGGCATCCATCTGCTGTGTCTGTGCTGCTTGGAAAGCTCTGTGAAATCGCTTTCCAAATCAATTCCCAGTACCACTGTGGTACAAATTGGTGCTTGGGTGTAATTAACATGCCCAGGCAGCCTTTGGGTCGAGAAAAGCAGCTAAATGTGCCAATTTTCAAGTGTTTAGGTGAGT